TTGTTGTTATTAACCTCATTATTATTATTGTTGTTATTGTTGTTGTTATTGTCATTAATTTTGTCATTCTTGTTACATTACCATCATTATTGTTATTATCATTGTTATCATTACTGTTACTATTGTTGCTGTTATCATTTTGTTGCCTATGTTATCATTATCATCATTACCTTTCCTTACTATTCCCTGTTCATTATCATTCCTTACTATTTCCTGTTTATATCACGTGACACGTACATCATTCCACAGTGTCTTCTAATTACCTAATCATTAAATTCTTTAGAGGGAAAAGACAGAAAAGAAAAAGAAGGAAGAACAAAAGAAAGATGAAGAGACGAGAAAGAAAGAAAGATAATTATAGGAAAATGTTCGTAGTATAACGACCAACCCCAAAAATATTCACATATACGGACATGATATGCACAGAAATAAGTGCATATCTGTCTGTCTGGTGGCTATGCATATGTCTATCTGTCTGTCTGTCTGATGGCAATGCATATGTCTATCTGTCTGTCTGTCTGATGGCTGTGCATTTGTCTATGTCTTTCTGTCTGGTGGCTATGCATCTGTCTATCTGTCTGTCTGGTGGCTATGCATATATCTATATGTCTGCCTGTCTGGTGGCTATGCATTTGTCTGTCTGTCTGTCTGATGGCTATGCATATATCTATATGTCTGCCTGTCTGGTGGCTATGCATATGTCTATATGTCTTCTGATGGCTATTCATATGTCTATATGTCTGTCTGTCTGGTGGCTATGCATATATCTATCTATCTGTCCAGTAGATATATCTTGACTGATAGAAATGCGTTTCTTCTGTGTATAAATATGTCCGTATAATGAATATTTATTGGGTTGGGCCTCGCGGAGTTTTAACAAAGCGGCCGTTAGAGCGAGGTGACAGAAAGAAAATAAATGTTCACTTTCAGTTGACTATTTGCACTCACCAAGGTTTTTTTTTTTTTTTTTTTTTTTTTTTTTTTTTTTTTTTTTTTTTTTTATTATCTGCTTCGCAAGCCACCTTGAATTATATATTGAGATCGACTTGATAATGGAAACGGGAAAAAAGTATTAGAAAAAAAATAATTTTGTGTGGGTATTTTCTTTTTATTCGCGTGTTGTGTGTGTGTGTGTGCGTGTGTGTGGTGTGTGTGTGTGTGTGTGTGTGTGTGTGTGTGTGTGTGTGTGTGTGTGTGTGTGTGTGCGCATGTGTGCATGTGTGTGTGTGTGTGTGTGTGTGTGTGTGTGTGTGTGTGTGTGTGTGTGTGTGTGTGTGACTGTGTTGTGTGAGGAGAGAGAGGAAGAGAGAGGAGAGAGAGAGAGAGAGAGAGAGAGAGAGAGAGAGAGAGAAGAGTAAGAGAGAGAGAGAGAGAGTGAAAGTGACAGAGAGAGAGAGAGAGTAAGAGCAAAGGAGAGAGAGACAGAGTGAAGGCGAGAGAGGAGAGAGAGATAAGAAAGAGGGAGAGACAGACAAACAGAAAGATGAAGAGCAAAAATGAAAGACCTTAAACAGCATATTCATCAAACAAGGAAAGAGGGGAAGAGAAAAGAGAATAGCAAATCAGAATGCGCGAGGGGGGGGGGTAGTAGGTATCAGAGAGAGGGGGGCACATAATGACTGACACTGACAGACAGACAGACAAATAAACAGACAGAGCGGCAGACAAACAAATAAACAGACAGAGATACAGACAAACAAATAGACTGGCACAGACAGGCAATTCCACACAGAAAAAGAGAAAGAGAGATAGATAGTGAGAGAGAGAGAGACAGACAGAGTAGGAACAGAGAATGAATACGCTTGTTTTAAACAAAGAAAATTGTGTAAGCTGGAATATAGATATATGAATAGGTAAATTATCAAACGGATTTATTAAACGAATATCAACGTAACAAATCAATGATAAAGATAAGAAATAAAGATAAAGAGCAGAAGATTACAACAATAACACTGATATGAATCAGGCTTTTCCTTGTATCTGCAAATAACACACGTAACATTTTCATAACAAATAACACACGCAAGGGATACAGCACTAAACGATTAATTTGTTAATTTTATTTACACTTCTTTCTACCAGGCTTTAATATACCCCTATACATCACTCTGGGCTTTGTAAAATCTACCATAAATAAATCTACACAGTTCTATACAGTCTTAGAATAAACACTTTTTTTTTCGTAATTTTAACGTTTTTTTTTTGTATAGGTTTGTTGACATGGAGGTATCGGAGCTTCGAAAAATTTATACGTTTCGTTCGTCATGTAAACGTTTTTTTTTTCCTGTTTTATTTGTCTCCTGGGAACACGAGCTGGAAATATTAAAAACGAATGTTGTTAATGAAAAGTTGAGTTCATAACGTGATGGTATGTGTGTGGAACCAGGGAGTGTGTGTTGTGTGTGTGTGTGTGTGTGTGTGTGTGTGTGTGTGTGTGTGTGTTTGTATGCGTGTGTATGTATATGTTTGTATGTGGGTATCCCATGAGTGTTTGTGTTCCTGTAATTGTAAATAAGTGTATCTTTATGTCTCCAACCTCCCACAAAATTGCCATGCCCTTGCTCTACACTTTTACATTATTACTAGTGTTTATTTTACGAGAAAGTGAGCCCTACGCTTTTACATTATTCCCAGTCTCTCTCTTTTGCGAGAAAGTGAAAAAAATGTATTAATAAATTTAGTGCCGTTGCTATGCTGGGGTTGGTGTTCCTGGCGCTGCAATAAATCGTCTGCTGTCTGGCCTTGGGACGGAGAAAGGAAGTCTGTGCCAGGGGGGGAGGGAAGGAAGAGGAGAGAGAGAGAGAGGGGGGGGAGAGCGAGAGAGAGAGAGAGAGAGAGAGAGAAAGAGAGGAGGGAGGGGCGGAGGAGGAAGAGAGAGAGAGAGAGAGAGGAGGGGAAGGGAGGAAGAGAGAGAGAGAGAGGAAGAAGAGAGAGAGGAGAGAGAGAGAGAGAGAGAGGGAGGGAGAGAGAAGACAGAGAGAGAGAGAGAGAGGAGAGGAGAAGAGAGAGAGAGAGAGGGAGGAGGAGAGAGAGAGAGAGAGAGAGAGAGAGAGATGGGGGGAGGGAGGAAGAGGGGAGAAAGAGAGAGAGAGGAGGGAGAGAGGAAGAGAGAGAGAGAGAGGGGGGGGAGGAAGAGAGAGAGGGGGGGAGGGGAGGAGAGAGAGAAGAGAGAGAGAGTGAGAGAGAGAGAGAGAGAGAGAGAGAGAGAGAGAGGAGAGAGAGAGAGAGAGAGTGGGGGAGGGAAGGGAGGAAGAGACAGACAGAGAGAGAGAGGAAGGGGAGGGAGAGAGAAAATTGGGGGAAGGAGGAAGGGAGGAAGAGAGAGAGAGAGAGAGAGAGAGAGAGAGAGAGAGAGAGAGAGAGAGAGGGGCGAGGGAGGAAGAGAAAGAGAAAGAGAGAGTGCATTACCTATGTAGGTCTGCATATGTATACGTGTGTGTCTGTGTATCCGTCTGTGCAAGAATAGCTGTATCTACGAACATACAAAGATCACAGTAGCTCGTAGGAATGGAATTTTGCAACAAGCTCTTGCAATCGACCAACTTGCGGTCAAAGATCTGCAATTATTTATCTAAATCACTCCGCCAAAGTCACTCATGCATTCCACTGATATACGTTTGCAAGAGTGATATGACACAAAGTTTTATAATAGATATTCGGGGATAGATAACCTCTGTGAATGATGAATTAGTAAGTATGGATTTATGAGGTACATATTTGATTGCTCGCTTGTTGTTTTCATGAGATATAAAATACGGCACAGATATTAAATAATAGGAAAGAATTGTACATCAGTAATATGTAGATGTGTAAAATAAACTACAAATCACGCAGATTATAAACCATAAATCCAATAGTTACATAGATGATTAAATTGCATGTTACAAATTCACTAATTACTGTTTATCTTTCTGCAACAGAGGTATGAAAAGATTTCACATTACAGAATTAATTATAACTCAATAAGGTCGTAAATCACTGACTCATAATTTAGTCAGTTTTATTTACTGAACAATTATCGCTGGAATTCAAATTTCCAGCAGTTATAGTCATAAATTACTTTTATTACAAATCAGAAGCTTATGAACACCTCTCGCCCTCTTTCGGGAATCTGATTGGTGTTGCAATGACCTCTTTCTCTTGCATAATTGCATAATATAATAATAATAATAATATAATAATAATAATTGCATAATATAATAATTATTATAATAATATAATAATAAGTCTTTCGTACTGATGATAATATTGGCCTCCTGCAGGACTATCCCTTGGTGTTGGTGGTACTCTTAGCCAAGGTCTAATATGTATTCATTTAGACTTTGTTCTAAGCCTTATGTCAAAATGGTCCTTGATGTTGATAACGTTCCCCGCCTCTTGTTATGTTCCTCCTTCAGAAATATCACTTGGTGTAGACAGGGTCCCTAGCCCCTTACAAAAATACCCCGCCGTGTTGACAAATACCTTGTTCTCCTACAGGAATGCCCCTAGACGTTGATGATATCCCCATCCTTCTACAGGCATCCTCCAGAAATATCTTTTAGCGCTGACGGTGTTCCTGTACTTCTACAGAAATTCTCGTCGGTGTTTATGTTGTCCCCATCCTTCTACAGAAAGTCCCTTGGGTGCTGGGAATGTCCCCGTCCATCTACAGGGATGCCCCTAGGCGTTGAAATGCCCCTCGTTCTTCTGTAGAAATGCCCCTAGGCGTTGAAAATGTCCCCGTCCTTCTGAAAAAATGCACCCCCCCCCTCAGCCAGCCGCTGAAAATGCCCCCGTCCTCCTGCAGAAATGCCCCTAGACTTTGAAAATATCCTCGTCCTACAGAAATGCCCCTAGACAGAAAATATCCCCGTCCTCCTGCAGAAATGCCCCTAGACTTTGAAAATCCCCCCATCCTTCTACAGAAAAGCCCCTAGACTTTGAAAATATCCCCGTCCTTCTACAGCAATGCCCCTAGACTCTGAAAATGATCGCAGAAATGCCCCTAGGCGTTGAAAATGCCCCCTAACCCTGACAAAGCCTCCGCCCTCCTACAGGAATGCCGCCTGGTGCTGACGATGCTCTCGGCCTCCTCGCGCCTGCTGGTCTTCCACGAGAACGCGAGCGAGGCCGCCTTCGTGGGCAATCCTCACCTGGTGGAGTACACTGTGGGCCGAGTGAGCGTCGAGGTCATGAACCAGAGGGACTTCGCGGTCATGCATGTGAAGAGTGAGTCATGCAGGAGTGTCTCGTTGGTCGATGATCATGCACTGGGAGATTCGCTGCGTTTGAATTCGTGTAATGATTTTTTTTGGAAAAAATCAATGCTCAGATTTTTATTGTCGTTTCGATCTTTTTGATGTTTATTCTTTTTTTTTCATTTTTATAACAAATATAGATTTTAAAAAAAATGAAGCAATAAACAAATAGACAAAGCAGCAAAGCTAGAATAATTAAAATCCGCACCTTTTCGAGTCCAACATTGATTTCCTCTTCAGGTAGAACCACCAATAGTATATAATAACCACGTTTGAGAAGGAAGCCATTGTCAAAACAGAAACGCCATTCGTATTAGACTAAAATTTACCAGGATGTGTCCTATTTATTTCACCACGTTTATTTACCCACAGTTTGCATTCAGCTAAATGCATTTAAACCAATAATTTCGGTCAATAGATTACTGTTGAAAGATATCTTCATCATTATTAAATGATAAATGGAAACTGTATCGTTTAGTAAACAAACAGACTAAAAGCAGTAAAGTTAAAGAAAAAAAACATTTCGACATTGATTTCCTTCCAAATAGAAACAAATCTCCGTTTTATTTATTATTCCACGCTGATTTATCTAGATTTTGTATTCAACTAAATGTATTTAAACTAGAAATTTCGCTCCATAAAGTATAGTTATAATTCGTCCTCCATCAATAATTGTAGGCCTACGGTCGTAAAGCCAGATGGATGTTCACCAAATATTATTGCAATGCAACTCTATCTGCGTTTCGTTGTAAGGAATTGAGAATGTAACCTGAATATTTTGAATTTGCTACGATATAGATAGATATATATATATATAGATGGATAAATAGATAAATAGACAGAATGATAGATAAATAGATATATACGTACACACACACACACACACACACACACACACACACACACACACACGTCTATATGTGTGTGTCTGTGTGTGTGCGCGCGTGCGCGAACCACGAAAATAATGTATACACAGAACGTAAATCCTTTCATTGTTTGTGTTGACTCCAAGGTTAAAATGACTTTGTGTCAAGGCGGTAAACGAGAGTACATGTTCATAATAATTATCTCATTAATTTCCCGTCGGCATGTATAGATGGATAAATGACATGACATATTATAATCAGTATATCCATGACAGCGATGACCATAGTGATAGGGGTAATAATTTTGTAGTCATTAATATTATCATTACTACTGCTGCTGCCTCTGCTTATATTGATTATAATGACAATAATGATAATGGTAATGATGATAATGATAACAATAGTAATAGCAATAATGACGATGTTGATAATGGTAATGAAAATAATAACGATGCTATTGATAATAGTATTACTGGTTGTAATATACAGACACAGTAATGATAATGATAGTGATTGTAATAATAATGATAAGTGATAATTGCAATCGTGATGATAAAAATTATGATTTATATGACAGTAATAATAATGATAATAATAATGACAATGGTCATAAAAATGATGATAATGACCATGATCATAATGATAATGATATAGGTAATCCTCATTATCATAATAATGAAAATAGTATTAATGATGATGATTATCACTATTATTATCACCATCATTATCATTATTATCATAACTACGATAACAATAATAATAATAATGATGATGATGGCAATAATGATAATAATAATATTAGTAAAAAAATGATGTTGAAAAAAGTAATGATACCAATAATAATTTTGATAATGATAATGATAATGATAGCACTATAAGTAATGATAATAATAATCATTAGGATACTGTTACTGATAATAATAATCACAATAATAATAATAACAATAATAATAACAACAACAACAACAACAACAACAATAATAATAATAATAATAATAATAATAATAATAATAATAACGACAATTATAATAAGCAGGGAGAGGAAGAGTATAATTATGACAAAAATAACTACAACAAAACAACGACAATAAAAATAATAGTAATGATATTGATTATGTGGATGATGAGGATGAAAATAATAACAACACTAATAATAAAATAAGTAAAAGAATGAAAAAAAGATAATAATAAACAGACTTAACATTATAAATCTAAACGCATTCTAACAAATTACACTTACAAAAGTATCCCCTGTAATGAGGTCAATTAAGTGCAAAGAAAATATCCGGTGAAAATAATTCAGTCACCCTTAAAACTTTTTTTTCCCTCCCCCTCCCCCCCTCCCCATTCCCCATCAATTTATATCCCTAACAACACATGGACTAAACTACGTAACTTCGCGACATTTTAACAGTCAATAAACCCCAAACAACAGCAAGGAATATCCACAATCCATTCACAGCCTATTTCCAACCCAGATAACAAACCACAATCCATTCATAACCTACTTCCAACCCAAATAATAGACCATAATAAACCACAATCCCACAACCCCAACCCAGATGTTCCAACCCAGATGATAATAAACCACAATCCATTCACAACCAGATGATAAACCATAATAAACCACAATCCATGTACAACCTATTTTCAACCCAGATGATAAACCATAATAAACCACAATCCAACCCACTTCCAACACAAATAATAAACCACAATAAACCTTAATCCATTCACAACCCAAATAATAAACCACAATCCATTCATTCATTTCCAACCCAGATAATAAACCAAATAAACCACAATCCATTCACAACCCAAATAATAAACCATAATAAACCGCAATCCATTTCACAACCCCCAACCCAGATAATAAACCATAATAAACCACAATCCATTCACAACCCATTTCCAACCCAGATAATAAACCGCAATCCATTCACAACCCATCCAACCCAGATAATAAACCATAATAAACCACAATCCATTCACAACCCATTTCCTACCCTAAACCACAATCCATGCACAACCCATTTCCACCCCAGATAATAAACCACAATAACCCACAATCCATTCACAACCCATTTCCACCCCAGATAATAATCCCAAACCATCTCCTTGTTGAACGCAGTATCGCTAGTGAGACGCGCGGGATACATCTTAATGAACGTGTACATCCCTTCGACGCTGCTGCTGATCGTGAGTTACGTCACCCTGTACTTCCGCGTCGGCATCTTCCAAGCCAGGGTTTTGGGGACTCTCACCGCCCTGTTGGTCATGGCCACGCTCTTCACGCAGGTGGGTGAGGGGGGAGTGGGTTGGGGTTGGGTTGGGTTGGGGGAGGGGGGTGGGTAAGGGGGAGGGTTGGGTTGGGTTGGGGGGGGGAGTGGGGTGGGTTGGGTAAGGGAGGAGGAGTTGCTGTGTGTCTGAGTGTTTTGTTGAGAAGTGTGTGTGTGTGTGTGTGTGTGTGTGTGTGTGTGTGTGTGTGTGTGTGTGTGTGTGTGTGTGTGTGTGTGTGTGTGTGTGTGTGTGTGTGTGTTTGGTTGAGAGAGAGGGCGGTAGCTAAGATTTTTTTTCTCTCCCTTCTTTTTCAGCTCTCAACGCTATATAGAATACTTAGTAAAATAGTATATATATATATATATATATATATATATATATATATATTATATATATATTATATATATATATATAATATATATATATTTTTTTTTTTTTTTTTTTTTTAAGCAGGTATAACCAATATGCCATACTATTGATACTGTATGGGACTCTATGAGCAGGCAAACAAGTATCAGTATTGAATCATACTTCCTAACTATATCGAAAAAAGTACATTTAGAAAATATTCAGCTGCCTAATATCGCCTCTAATATTTATCTAAATAAAAATATTTACATTCTGAGATCTTGGAACCTGCCGATACACCGACACGCCCCTAGAACTACATCCTCTTTCTCCCCAGGCGTCCTCGCACCTCCCGAAGACGTCCTACTTCAAGATGGTGGACGTGTGGCTCCTGACGTGCATCTTCGTCATCTTCATCGTCATCGTCTTTCACGTCATAATCGACAGGGCGTTCGAGAGGGCCGAGAGAGCCCCTCCTGCGATTCCTGCAGCGCCTTCGCCCTCCCCTGCAGTGCAAGCCGTGAAAGTGCATCCCTCAGGAGGAACCGCTGCCACAGCCCCCTCCAAAGACCCGAGAGGCGCCTTGGAGTTCTTGTCCGCCGGCAGGAGATCAAGTCTTCACCTTCGTCTGCGTGTCCGCTCTCCTCTCTATCAGAACCTAATCCTGGGAGCTCGCGTGGTCGTGTTCGCGGCGCTCCTCACGTTCAACATTGTTTACTGGAGCACTGTATTTCTACACTAATTATTCTTAGTTATTTATGAATGTCCGGTAACTGCACCGGTCTTATTTATGTCACTTTTATCCAACCTTCATCTTTTTCTTTGTTGTTGTTGGTAACACCGTTGTTGCACTCATGTCGTTCATATCACATTCATTCTACATTATTTTCTCTGTGTATCTCATGTGTTTATTAAGAGGTATTTTATCATTGTTCATTGTATCTGTAGAATGTTCATTGAAAAACAAACCTTAAATTTCTAGTCATGCTGTTCGTATCACTGTGTATACTCGTTCATCATCATTCTTTTCCCACAATTCATTCATGGTATTCTTTTCCTTTGTGGTGCTATTCGTATTACATAAACATACTTTGCATTTTTAACCATGGCTTTGCACCACCTTCCATTTATCAGAACTGTTTTCATAAGCTATTATTGATGACTGTAATACACACTGGATATTCAAATAAAGAGAATTCGTGCGCAGAGTTTGCAGAATAAAACTTTTGGAATGGAAGCGGATCGGAATGTAGTTTAGGGGAACGATGTCATAAAAAAGCAATCACATCATACGCTCCTGCGCATGAATACACACACACACACACACACACACACACACACACACACACACACATTATAATATTATATATATATATATATATAATCACACACACACCCATACACACACACACACTCACACACACATATATTGTAACCCCAGTATATATGTGTGTGTGTGTGTGTATGCATCTAATTATTATATTCTACATATTCATATAATCTTACATGTTTGTCACATTCGTATCTTCACATATACATATACATATGCATACACGCCTGACCATTGCTTCCCCTATTTATTCCTCTTTTCTTGCCACACCAGACATTCCAATGTTGTGGTGTCTATCCCTCCCACAAGAGCTATGTATTAATGTAACGCTTACTTGTTCGTCACCGGTTACCACATGTTAACAACGTGAGATAGACAAGACAGACTCCCTGTGTATACCAAACCTAAACCCTCAAAATCATTATTTTCTGACCGATAAACTGACAGTGAGAGAGAGAAAAAGGAAAACCGACTCTTCCTATTCAGAACAGAATTTTAGTTCAAACAAATCAACAGATTTTTGATGAGGACAATACCAACACCAGTAAAAAAATCATCATAAAGCAACATTTTCTTTTTTTTAGGATCGTACAAAACATATCACAGTTTCAAGCAATTTATTTATGCCCCATTATGGTACATATATACAAATCCTCCTCATAAACATCTGCTTAGCAGATGTTATTTTTTCAACATGCTAACCTTTGTAAAACAGCATTGAAACCGTTTCATTCCAATATTAATTATAAATTTGTTGGATAGCTATTTCATAACAAATTTGAAATGGTAGAAACAGTAGCAGTCACTTGTAATTTCAGAATTTTGAAATTACTTTTTAACAAAAAAAAATCAATTTTCTTTAATGCTAATGCAAATTCTGGGGTTTGGCCATTCTTGCTTTATCGTTGTTACCCACAATTCATCCAAGCCAAACCAAAGAAATTGAACCACCGGAAATAAAGCTTACTTTTCGCCTCCCTTTAAACAACTATATGTAAAACAGACTCGCACGTTAACATCCACAGGCCCACTGATTGTCTTGCCTACTCGAAAAAGATGACAAAGATCACAAATCAACTGAAAAATAATAATACCAGAGTCTGAGTAGTTGTAACTGTCCATTCACTTTCCAGGAAGTGACAATAATATGGAAGGAAAGATGCGAGTACACTCCTGCCTCCTTGAATCTCTAAATATTATGTACAAAAACAAGTGAGGCTGCAAGAGAACTCTGATCCCGTCTGTGCTTTAACGAGGATGATATAATATTAAAAATTATATAAAATGACTAGCAGCGTTACTAATTCATGGCTGAATTTGCATTTCAATGGGGATGCTGCATTCCCACACGAAAACAGCACCCGTTATTGGAATGTGGACACAATTGCAAGTTGAAGTTTCCAGGAAGATATGTACAGACATGCTTCACAAGCTGAGCACACGCATTTACATTGAGCTTCCAAAGAAAATATCACATATAAATTCTCCACCTTGAGCTGCAACATCCTTTATAGGACAAGTTGTACAATGACGCCGCGTCGACTTCGGGGTCCTCCAACGTATCCCTGACTCGAGGCTTAGCCTGTCCAGGGTAACCGTCCACAGCCGCCTGCGAGCTGCTTCAGATCACGGAGCTGGTTCTCCTTACGGGACGCGGGAGGGGTTTTTGTGATGCCTCGGAAGACAGACCCTGTTTTACAGCATGTCTTAAATTACGTAACAACATGAATGAGTCAGTCAATTCGGTAGACATATTTTTACGATCGTTACTGTTCTGAATAATTGAACTATGCCTACCACATGATCCAACGCAAAATAACTTATCATAATACCCTGATACAAATATACCACTGATGAATACAGCCAAGAAGAGAAAGAAATATATATAGACACTTCACTCTTAAGTTGAACTTCTTAGACACATGATGACCGCCATAATCTTGATGGCCGGACCCAACTTGATATGCAGGAGGTTGACCAGGTCGTTCTGCGTCATCATCAGGAGCGCCTCGCCGTCGATCTGCTGCTCCACGAACACGGAGGACACCTGCTCGCACCCCGGGATCCTCGCCACGAGCTGCTGGACCTGGCTCGCGTCCCAGGCCTCGACGTCGGCCCGCTTGGCGTCGCCCAGGGAGGCCGTGAGGTGGCGGTGCCGTTCCCACGAGTGCGGGATCGGGGCGGCCGGGTGCGGGTTGTAGCCGGGGTTGAACACGGACTGGTGCACCATCATGTCGACCCCGTGGTCAGAGGTCTGCTGCTGTTGCTGTTGGTGTAGGTGATGTTGTTGGTGGTGATGTTGGAGTTGCTGCTGCTGCTGCTGCTGTTGTTGTTGCTGTTGTTGTGTCTGTTGTGCTTGTACCTGCTGTTGTTGCTGCTGTTGTTGTGCCTGTTGCTGCTGTTGTTGATGATGTTGTTGTTGCTGCTGTTGCTGATGGTGTTGTTGTTGTTGCTGCTGCTGCTGCTGTTGTTGTTGTTGTTGCTGCTGCTGCTGCTTGTTGTTGTTGATGTTGGGGCTGCTGCTGTTGTTGCTGTTGATGTTGTGGCTGTTGTTGTTGTTGCTGTGCTGTTGTTGTTGTTGCTGTTGCTGTGACTGTTGTTGTTGTTGCTGCTGCTGAGGGAAGCCCGTGGGCGATACCTGGTTGGACGAAGTTGGCGTTGTCGCATTTGATGTAACAGTTGTTACCGTTATCGGTGCTGTGGCGGTGGCAATGGTCACGGTACACGAGGATATTGCACTGGGTAATATATTAGAATTGCTGGCTGCCCTGACCTCCTCATTCGCCTTTGGCACCTTCTGTGGTCGAGTGGGCTCCGGGGGACTCAATTCGTCAAAGAACTTGCGTCTCTTCCGGACCCTCTTCTTCTGGCAGGGAGTCTCGTCTGCAAAGGCATCCTTGTTCCCACTGAATGGACGGAGATCCAGCTTGACTTTCGGAGCAATCTTGCCCTTCTTCTTCTCCTGGGCTGGCTGAAGTCTGTCTGGGATCAAAGTATCCAAGTCCTTGTTCAGATTTTGTGTAGAGTATGGGCAGCCATACGCCGTGTGGTGGGTGGTATAAATGGGGCCCTTCACATGTCCAATGCCCTTACAGCCTGCTGTTCCACACCCCATGCCAGAATCTACATCCTCTGCCTGTTGTTCTGGGGTTAAAGGTGGCTGCAGAGGGTGGCCTGTCTTGTTACTCCATGACGGTGGGTGGATGTCTGGCGAGTCATCATCAAGCCAGTAGTCGTAGGCATCACCCCAGCCATCAAAATGGATTTTTATTTGGTAGTCTTGCACATCCACTATGGTGGCCACACGTATGAGACTCGGATTCCTCTTATCAACAACCTCTAGTTTCATGTTCTTCTTGAACTCTCTCGGAGGTCTGGTCTTAAAAGCCCTGGCAGGGACAGCCATGGAATTGGTTTCCTGGATGTACTCATGCCAGTTGAAGCTTTCTGGATTTGGGTAATTATTTGGAGGGTGGAGGACGATGTTATTGTCTGCACACCATCCAACCGGGTGGATGTAAGGAGATGACACTTCACTCCAGAAGTCAAAGGCTTTGTCCCATCCATCAAAATGGATGAGTACACGATTATCAAGCACATCAGCCACTGTGGCTACACAGACCCACATGTTCTTTCTGTCTTCTGCCTCGAGTTTCATGCCCACCCGGAAATTATTAGGTGGGATGACAGTGGAATTACCTTTATTGGCAAAGGCTTGTCTAGGTGCCGTCTGAGCCTTGCAGTGCTCTAGATATGCCTTCCAAGAAAATCCTAGCACTCCAAGGGGTGGCTCCAGCTGCCGGCCATTCTTCTCACACCAGCCAGCCGGAAAAATGTTTGGTGAATCAGCATTGACCCAGAAGTCGTACTGGTCTGAGTAGCCATCAAAGTGGAGCCTCACCCTGTACCCAATGGTTTCAGCCACCGTCATGACACAAAAGAGTGACTGGTGTTGAGGGTCAATGGCCTCCAACTTCATGCCAGCTTTAAAGAGATTCCTGCCAAAGGGAAACGGCTCTGGCCACAGCTTCAGGGGTGCCGCCTTCGCCATGCCTTTTGCTCTCCCACAGTGCTCCAAGTACTTCACCCAAGAGAAATTGTTCTTCCCATCTTGCCACGGATGCTGAAATCGGCTCACTAGGGACTCCGTGCCCATGAGATTCCTTGCTTGTCTGGATTCTTCATCGCTGACCTGCCCTGATTCCTCGGCCTCACTGCGGTTTCCCTCCCTCCCTTCGCAGCCAGCCCCCTGCTCATCTCCCTCGCCTTTTTCACACTGCCTGAGCTTCTTCCTCCTCTGTCTCTCCTTCTCCTGCTTGAGCCGTTCTTTACCCCACTCCAGTTCTCTTGCATCGTGTTCCTAAAATAAGACAGGCATTCATTAAAAATGAATAGGATTCCCACACTAATTCAGTGCAGTAGTAATGCCTTCCTTCTAAAAAAAAAAAAAATACACTTACAATAGTCGCATTAAAAGTTACAAAACACAATATGATATGCACTAATAAAGACTACTTTTTGAGAAAACTTCAAAAAAAGAAATGTCATGATCCTTCCGTTATAGTTTTTACTTCACACTAATGAGTGTATATCACTGATAACACAAATAATACAGGTATTTGAATGAATGCAATTAGTGAAATCAGTTAGGTGTACTAATATTTATTTTTCATATCCAAAAAGATTTAACTCTTATTATCATTATTATAAACGGAGTGAGGAGTGAGGAACATGGCAGATGATTAAAAGAAATCAGGAAAGAAGATCAGATATAAGATAATTTGCATTTGAACTTAAATCAATTACAATATAAATGGAAATAAACAAATACAAATACTTACATCTCCACAGGCAACAGAACAGAAGTTGCTGTCACGGAAGAACTCTGAACTAAGGCCATAACAGCCGCAGTTCTTACAGCAACAGATGTCGTCAGATTCTCTCGTTGACTTATTCCCTTGTGACTCTGAATCCTGGGAATTGTCTGAGAATATTTCCTCATCCTTTATGAGGTCACGGAAGTTGGGTTTGCGTGCATGATGTCTGGGGGTGAGTGGCTCCACCTTCTTGCAGTGGTTGTTTTTGATGTCTTCCAGATCTCTGTCCTCAATAATCTCCACAGCATCAAACTCGTTGATCTTGAACTTGAGATCCGTTCCATCTAGCTTTCCAACCCCATCCTCCCACTTCAGGAGCTCGATGAACTTCACTTTTTCAGGCTTGATGTCTTCTTCTGCCTCTTGCTGCTTGGGCTTCCCGGCTGGGCTGTTATCAGCCTTGTGGTCGGTACAGTTTTCAGCTTCTCTTGATGGAGACTTTTCCTCCTTCACTCTGTCCAAGGGCTCAACCTGCACCTCATGGCTTGGGCTAGAACTCCTTGACGAGTTTTGTGACTTGTTCAGCATTGTCCGCAAGATCTCTTTTCTCACGTCAAGCACCTGTGACTCCGAGTCGATGTTCATTGGCTCTTCCTTTACCCTGACCACTTCTTCATTTGCCTCCTTCTCCTTCTCTGGTTCCACGAATTCTGTGTCTGGCTTCAGCTGCTGCTCGTGGTCATAGGTATCAAGGTAGGGTGGGAAGTCCTCTGGGCCTCTCTGTCTGCTCTCCTCTAGCGCAACCCCAAGCTGGCTGACAGCTTTCTGCAGAATATCTTCTCTCTCTCTGTTGATGGAATGAAAGGAAAAGGTTGTTTATGTGGGAAAGCATTATATGGAATATGTATATTACTCTAAAAAATCGGAGTCTTTCCCTTTGGGTTCATGCTCTTTCCCTATAAACTCTTGAAAAAGCATATAAATAATAAATCACCAGCTTTTTCAAGAAAATTCTTTGAGAATTACTCCTACAAGTTGAATATATTGCAAAGTTTGAAAAAATTTACTCATTGTTACAAAGAACAAGAAAAACAAATAAATATATAAATAAATAAAACAAAAACCAGCTTACCCTTTGTTTGTGCACATCAAATCTCTTGTATCTATAGAGGAATCGTCATCAACAGTTGAGCTTATTGGAGGTTCAGGTACTGATCTTGCCACAGTCACCGTCATTGGCAGTGACGTTGGTATGGACACTTGGTTAGACAATGGCACTGAAGATGTTGCAGTTCCAGGGACAATCATTGGCCCAGTTCCTATCCCTGGTCCTACCCCAGGACCTGCGCCTGGCAATGACCCCGTGACTGAAACTGTCACAGATCCTGTTCCGACAGCATGGGCCAGACCAGCCATCACAATAGGGTTATCCTTCCGCTCATCCATTTGCTTGCCTCCTCCCTGGACCATTGGCCGAGCTTCCCGAAGAACTGCAGAGCAAAAGGATAGAAACCAGTTAATATGCAAGCAATACCTTGAATCCAAAAATCTATATAAGGTCCTATAAAGGCTTTCCACTCTTTAGTTCCCTTTCTCTTTACTTTTAACCTTATCTTTTATCTTTCCAGTCTTCACTTTTGTTTTCAAACACACTCGCATCCAAAATCTCTTAAACTGTGCTGTAATAGAAGTCACAACTTGCATCTATAATTTTCTTATTTCTATACTAAAACTAAATAAATCAGTAAATCAATTTATATTGACTGACAGCAAGATAAAGACTAACTGAACAACAGATACAGATATATAAAACACGCACACACACACACACACAAAAAAAAAAACTTACCATCAACTTGCTGCATGCTATCAGCTTGAATCTGTCCATTTGATATCTTGAAATTGATCATGTTGGGCTTGTTCTGGCCGAGATTAACAGAGAGCATGTTCACTGGGTTGGGAGTGGGACCTGGTACTGTCCCTGGTTGCTTGGTACCCTGAAAAAATGTGCAATAAAAGCTTTTAAAATATGAAAAATTTGTAAATCATGATAAGCTGTAAAATATTCATATATATAGAGTGAAACAAGCAGGCAAAAAATATAAAAGCAAACAGATAAATAAAGATGGGACAAAAAAGAAAAAGAAAAAGTGAGATCCCACTTCAACAAAGCACCAAATATACAAGAAACCAAATAAACAGAAACCAAATATCATACACCCCCAACAATGATTAAAACCACATATTAAAAGACAAAAAAAATATAAATAAGAATGAACAATTCCATTATGCAAGTTTGTAATGAACATTTCATTGCTAAATTATCAGAGTTAACATGCTTCTCACTCCATTGAGGATGCATATACACCTTGCATTGTGGAATGATGCACCCTTCTTCCTTTCCTTTGTAATTTCTTCAGTGAACCTCACACTCCTTACCTTGCCAGTAATGATGCTTATTGTAGCACCTGCAGTCTTGGCCAGTGCTGCTCCCTTCACCGTGGTAGGAGGAGCCGCCTGCAGAAGGAGGGGCTGTGAGGGTGTATGGCCTTCCTTCTTGGCCATGACGCTGCTGCCTACCACGCCCCCTCCACCTGAGCTGCCCCCAGGTTGCAGGATGGCGCTGTAGGAGAGAACTGCCTTGTTCGCGACCCCTGACCTCACCTACGGAAGTGGAATGTTATGGCACATGAAAGTTATTGAACTTTACCAACTGGAAGTTTTAATATGTGTGTGTGTATGTGTGTGTGTATACAACACACACACACACACACACACACACACACCACACACACACACACACATACACACACACAACACACACACACAACACACACATACACACACACACACACACATTACATATATATAAATGTGTGTGTATGTATGTATGCATGTGTAAATGTATGTATATTTATATGTGTATGTGCAATTGTAAGTGTATGAATGTATATGTACATGCACATGTACATGTATAGGTATATGCATACACATACATTTAATCAATGTGTGTGTATGTATGTATGTATGTATATATATATATATATATATGCACACACACACACACACACACACACACACACACACACACACACACACACACACACACACACACACCTTTACACACACACATACATACATACATACATATATATATATATATATATGTGTGTGTGTGTGTGTGTGTGTGTGTGTGTGTGTGTGTGTGTGTGTGTGTGTGTGTGTGTGTGTGTGTGTGTTGTATATGTATATGTGTATATCTATATGTGTATGTGTACATGTACGTATATGAATGTATATGTACTTGTACATGTACATGTATATGTATATGTACATGTATAAGTGTATGTGTATGTGTAAGTATATATTTATATGTATGTGTATATGTATATGTATAATGTAGAAAATTATATCAATGTAACATTGTGATTAGGGATGATACAAGAAACAATGTTAAGATCACATGAGAAACCATATGATGATAAAGAGAAAAAATACATTATTGTAAGGCTGTAGTTTATATCTTGCATTGAGTTTGTATGTATCAAGCTGGATTTAAATTAGTTTGAAAATGATCATGAAAAAAAAATGACTTCCGTAACAGTTAAAATGGTATACCAAATCTTTTTACATCACACAGAAATTATTTGAAATAAAGAGGGCTGTACTCATGCTAAGCAGTTAAATTATCAGCTGTCACTGGTTAACATCTCTATTCTCATTACTGAACAAACCCTATAGGCTCTTAATAGGACATGTAAGCATGACCGAGAGTTAATCGTAATGAGTACAAACATTAGCTGATGGACAGAAAAAATACTTAAAGATCTCAGAACACAATTTGGTAAGACCTACAAGATAGTCAGAAAACATGAAAGATCATTACATAATCTCAAAAACTACAAATCTATTAGCAGTTTGAATGATCTGACGCCCTGGCTTCTAGGATGATCTTGAGCATGGAAGTTCTTATAAGCAATGGTGGCCATTAAGTGAACCTGTCAACCTAGAAGCTGTTTTGTTGTGTATGTTCTTGATATATTCGTCATTTACTTTCTTTTATGCCCTTAATAGATTGGCACTTATTTTGTTCTTTTAAACTCTACATTTATTATCATAATATTGCCAAGGATGTTTGAACAGTACATCAAGACAAATGTGAAAAAGGCATACAACAGAATAAATAAAGTCACAGATTATTTGACACAGTTCAATTATATCTTCATTAAAAATACATGTAGCAGTAAGATTAGAAAATATGATTATACCATTTCCCCTCCATAACAATGTATGCAAATCTTCCATCTTTTCACCAGTCACATTGGCACAATATTACCAAAAACAATTGTTCACTGCCTCAATGTTACAATTTGGAAGTATGGGGAATTTAGGAGATGTGAGTGAGTAATGAGTCAGGATGTGATAGATGTTTTGTGTTGTGTACATATCTATAATATATATTAATATAGTGATATATATATATATATATTATATATTATATTTGTTGTGTGTGTGTGTGTGTATGTATATATATCAATATCCATTCACTTAAATGAGATGACAATATGAAAAAAATATTGTAGAAGACAATGAAATCCAAGAAGAAGGTAAATATGAGCTTTTCACGAAAAGGTAAAAAAACATTTAGCAAATGGGCGAAACGACAAAACCCCACCCCACGGTACCCCTGCCACCCCTACGATAAAGGTACCCCTGCCCCACCCATGGCAATTGCACTCCTGCTCACCTGTGTAATGGGGATTGGGACCAGCCTGGGCGACACCACCTTCCCGCCTCCTGACGTGGAGGAGGAGGAGACAGGGGGCGACACTTTGGATGTGTGAAGAATAACCGGGCCGTGCGACTGGCTGCCCTGGCTGGCGGAGGGACGAAGGACCGTCGCAGGGGTGTTTGGGAGTGGACCCCCCGACCCCAAGACCGTGATAGTAGTTGCACTTTGGGGCACCACCGGCCGAGATATTCCTAATGGGGATAAAGGGAAAGTGTTATAAAGGTGCGATAAGGTGAATGTTAGAGTTGTAATTGAGACTAATATCAATAAATACATATTCATAAACTAATCAATGCAATAAATAAATACATCAAAATATTAATTATAAATATATAACCAACATCTGACTTCATAAAATGAAACTTGAGATGACCTAAAACTACTACTCCTACTACTACTACTATTAATAATAATAATAATAATGATAATAATAATAACAATAATAAAACAATAACAATAATGATAATAATAATAACAATAACAAAAACAAAAACAATAACAATAACAACAACAACAATAATAATAATAACAACAATAATATTAATAAAGGAAAAAATAAAAATTATATTGATGATAATAATAACAATAACAACAGCCACAATAATGACAACAATGATACTACAACTACTACTACTAATAATAATAACAGTAATAGTAACAATAATAATAATAATCTTACTACTACTACTACTACTACTACTACTACTACTACTAATAATAATAACAACAAAACAACAATGATAATAAAAAAAAAAAATTAATAATAAAAATAATTACAACTACAATAATTATTACAATGATAATAATAATAGTAATAATAATAATAGTAATAGTAATCATAAAATTATAATCATAATAATAACAACAACAATGACAACAATAACAATAATAATAATAACAATGATGATAATAACAACAACAAAAACAGCAACAACAATGATAATGATAATGAAAAGAATAACTGATTATGCTAATAAAAAAGATGATAATGATAATAATGATAACAATGATGATGATGATGATGATGATGATGATGATGATGATGATGATGATGATGATGATGATGATGATGATGATGATGATGATGATGATGATGATGATGATGATGATGATGATGATGATGATGATGATGATGATGATGATGATGATAATAATAATAATAATAATAATAATAATAATAATAACAACAACAATAATAAGAATATAACAATTAGAAAAAAAACTATAATGGTAATAATAAATTTTAAAAAAATAATAATAATAATGATGTTGATAATGATAATAATGATGATGATACTAATACCTAATACTAATGCTAATATTAATACTATTACCGAAGATGACAAAGATAATAATAATAAACAAAAACAAAAACAAAAATCTATAATAATAACAAAATATAAATAACATTAACAATGACAAGATATGTAACAAAAGCAACAACAATGACAATAGTAAAAAAAACAATGATAATCAATGATGATGATGACAATGATGATAAAAATAATGAAAAAAATATCAGTAATATAATCAATAATATTAGCTACAAAAAGAAGAAAAATCACAAAATCACTGATATCATACCTGATGAAACCACAACATTTGTATGTGTCTTGCGAACAACGGTGGCTGCCGCTCCCGGTCTGGCTGCTACAGTCGTCACCGGTCTACTACTCGAGACAGTGACTGCTGAGGTTGCCATACATCGGGTGGCTGCAACCGTGACTGTGGTGGCGACAACTGAACGTGGTGATCCAACGCTTACGACAGCACCAGTCTGGAAGATTTAATTTGGAGCTCAAGTATTTGTTTTCTTATGTGGTTCAGTGAAAGACAGTGGAGAAAGATGGGAGGTAGGATAAGAAGAGAAACAAGGAGAGTGGAAGAGAACGAGGAAAGGAGAAAGATGGGAGGTAGGAAAAGAAGAGAAGCAAGGAGAGTGGAAGAGAACGAGGAAAGGAGAAAGACACAAAAACCAAGAGACAGAGAGAGAGAAAATGAACGATAGAAAGAAAAAACTGAATGCCAGAACCAGGGCATTTGATTAAACACGAAAGCAAGAAAAAAAAGATAGAGAGAGCAGGGGGGGGAAGAAGAAGAAGAAGAAGAAGATGATGAAGAAAAAAAAAAAGTACATATAACTTACAGGATTACGAGGAGGTGGCACAGTAGTGCGTGATGGCCTGGAGCCAGACCCCAAAACTGAAATGGAGTTTAGCTTGGCTGTAAGAGGTATGAAATGGGCAGGACCACTCGGGCCTCGGCCAGGAACCAATGCAGCAACACGACCGCCTCCATCGCCCGTCTGTGAAAAAATGCACAAAGGTTAGGATACTTGCATATATCTTGATTTTTTCATTATTTGGTATATTGTTATAGACTGACTATATATTTTTTCTTGTTTTAAGAAGGGATTGAAACACACTGAAATGTTTAAAAATTCACTGAAATATTGTCAATAATCTGAATATGAAAAAATACATAAAACCTAAATCAACTTGTTTTCATATCTTTTTAAACAAGATTTCTATTTTTTTTTCTATTTCTTTTTTTACCTAACACAAAAGTTATCTATATAAATCTTCTATATAAAAGACCTTCTTTGGTCCACCTTCCCTGAACCTATCTCTTTTACCTAAAAATCTATATCTTTACTTATTTCTCAATTTATTTATTGGTTTCTTTCAAGTTTTATTCCTATGTTCCTTTGGCTACCAACTAGCTCATTCATACATGATTTTTCTTCCATTTATCAGTACATATAGCAATAAAATTCCATTCTCAGGTCTCTCTTGTAATATCCATGTCAATCTATTAAACATACATTCAACCACGTATCTAATTTACCCAATCTACATCTAAAACTAGCAATCTATCCTTCTATCCGTGTCTATCTGTGATCTTATCCATCTCTAAGAATCTGTTTACTTTTCTACCTGTTTACTACTCTTGTATCTCTCTTTCTAACAGCATTATTCCCCTCTTTGCTACCAAAACCTGGCATTTGCTCAAACAGAGGTCTAAATAGACTCCTGTACTGTAAATACACTACTGTCATTTCAACTTATTGCTTTGATGTTAATGGTTTGATACATTATGTTTCAAGGATATGATTTAAGCGAAAAGCATCTTACAAAGGTACTATTACATACTAGCACTGTTACCGTTTGCTTTTCACTCAAATCCCGTCCTTGAAACACTATTGATCAATCCATTAGCATCAAAGCAATGAGCTGGTATTTTCCACGAACATTGCCATTTGCAAATGATCAGCCATGGGTAGCATATTGCCTTGCTTGGGAGAGAGGCACTAACCCAAAAGGATTTCTAATGAAAATTCCTCAAATGAGCTTTCTCTTTTACGATATGTTGGACAGGCTTGATCCATTGTAAATACTGATATACGGATCTCTTAGCCATGGGACTAACAATGATCCTGAAACAATGAACAGTCCCTAAAGAAAAGTGTACTTAAATTATAGGACTTCATAACATCAACCATGAAGGTGCTTCCAATAAAAAAAAAAGTAATTAGAAAGCATCGATTCATTAAAAATATCTTGAGGTATACAATAACTTCATACAAATTCATTAACCTAAATTAAATCAAACTTGTACGGATCCAGGTATCTGAAGACCTTTATCTGATACTGGGTGGAAAATTATCTAAAACTATCTGATTACAGCCAAAATGACAATGCATATCCTGACACCTGTATCAGTTCATATTTCCTTCATTGCAAATTCTTCAAGTATCAGAGAAGTGTACAAAATGTCAAAAGCAGTGAAAGATCTTAACCTACATTTAAACATTCTCTATCCAAAAAATGATGATTAATACAAATGAAATTAAACAAAT